TDTTTCATATCAAAATTATAAATCAAWGATTTACATTGTGCACTCTTTATAATATCCTGCATTGGATAAATCAGTCTGGGACTGATTTAATTTAGTGATTAGATCTAAGACGTTTTGCAAAGTTATCCTGTTACTTCCGGGAGRCAGTGTTTTGAGTCAAAGTGTATTTTTGTTAATAAATACAAATTAACACAACCCAAACAGTCTGAGTTAGTAAGYTGAATATGAAACAGCGCTTACTCCTCAGTATCCTCTCCGAGTTGCCTTCAAAGTCCAGAGCCCATTGATTCAGCGAGCAGGTAGCGACCGTCACCTTCCGGCCCATGTTCTCCTCGCGCTGACAGGAGGTCACGATACAAAATAGTGAATGAGGCAAAGGACTCGGTTTGTTTCGATAAATCCGTGAACTCTGGAGAATAATGAGTGTTTATTGTTATTAACCCCGTTATTAACGGCACGTTGAACTAGAACTACAGGGCGGCTCTTCTTCGTCTCCTTTTTYTTCTTCTTCTTCTGTTATTATCACTGGTGCTGCCCCCTTCAGGAAGAAGAAGAAGAATACCAAAATAAATCATGTGTCTATCTTATAAATATAAGAGAATATGGGTCACCAAAGCTGTTTCTTTTTATATTACCTAACTGATATTTTTCATCTACAAGAGTTAGAAAAAAACAGTGGTTAGTACAAAAGGCATGGATTGAAAATTTTAATTACGTTTCTTTAAAAAACATAGAAGTTGTTTATTAAGAAAATATAAATTTTGCACAAATATTACAAATATGTGAATTCCTACAAAACAGTCAAATAAATTTACCTAAACACACATTTTCAAAAGTTACAGATTAAGATTAACATCATGTTTAATGCAGTGGTGGGCACAGTATCCCTAAAGCACTAATGGGGAACTAATTTCCTGATTAGTGCCTTAGGATTTTGCTAATTTTAAAATTTATTAGTGGATTAGCACCTGCTAAATGTATAGGCTAAATTTAGAAGCACTAACTAAGGTCTATAAATGTTATTGATCAATGATAATGTTAACAGCTGAAGGTGAAAGCTGTCACACATTTTGTTTGTGTGTGTGTCACTTTTCTTCTAGATGACAATATGTAAACCCAAATACAGCTGTGGGATGTCAATGATAAGTCTTAGGAGAGCAACATGGCAACATGTGACTCGTCTGTTTAAGATTATTCATGGGTTGACTGAGTTATTTTTGGGCTTTAAAATTAGCTTTTACTAAATTTTCAGTGTATTAATGCTTTAGAATTAGGGGATCTAAGTATATGAGTTAGTGCTTTAGGGCTGGTGAAACTAATTTTTAGATTAGTGTTGCCCATCACTGGTTTAATGTTTAAATGTCTGTATTTCATGCTATAGAAAATCATCCATTGTGTGTCTCTTGTCCCTATCTGGATTAGGGTGAGGCTGGAGTCTCAGTTGTCTTTGTGTGAAGGCAGGGGACACCTCAACAGTTCTCCAGTCTGTTACAGACACACAAAGAAGCCAAATATCCACACTTCCAGTCACAGCTAGTGTGTCCTTATTTTCTACCTCCAATTTGAGCGATTCCATACTTTTTTCCTCAGAATTGAGTGATTCCATGTTTTTTTCCATGTGCTTGGTCAACAAAAGTAACATTCACTGACTTCCACAATGTTCTCTCTTAATTTCTTTGAGTGTTCCTGAAAGCCAACAAGTTGTACTTTGGAATGACCTTATTATTGTATCATGTTTTTGATCTGAGTTTGTTTTACAGAATGAAATGTCTGAATGAGTGCTCATCCAAGACTGGTGATTCCGTACTTTTTGCCAGACAATATTTATCACACAGAGGAGCCTCAAAAGAGATTTAGACTGAGAACTAAATTAAGATAGTTCTGCTGCTGCACAACAAGAGAGCTGTCATTACTAATAATAAGTATGATTTGTTATATCTGCCAAAGTAAATTATTATTGATAAGTGTTGTGTGTGTATCAAACACATTAGTCGTCAATGTCACTACAGCCCTCAGACTCACAAAGGTTGTTGACTCCTCTTATAGAACTTTATAGGGCTACACTTCAGTTTAAATGTCTTCACTTAAAATAACAGTGGTGTTGGGATGTATCTGGCTGTGATTATGTCTACAGTGTCACCCATGTAAGAATATACATGTTCACATTCCACCGCTCACATTAGTTTACCCACACGTTATTGTACTTGATACTACAATTAGTTATTTTGTTTTGTTACTATTWGGAAATACTAACAACAGTGTAGAGACACATTCTGCTGTTTAAGTATGAATGTGTAAAAATGTGTGAAACTGTAACTGTCCCCGTTTCTTCGTATCATCTTCATAACATTTAGCTGTTTTTGTCTCCGAGCTGGAAATGTCCCCAGATTTAKTGTCAGAAATCTGGTCACCCTATTAAAGATGATACCTGGAAAACAATATCTATGTATGCCTCTGCATTTTTTCTATAAGACATCTGTGAGGAAACAAATTTCAAAAAATATTTCTCACAAAAATATTTGTAAATGTAAAAAATGCTAAATAGTCATCATGTGATGATCAACTATTTATATAAACATACAAATTGTTCATTAAAAAATAAAAGTTCATTCACTTTTGCTACGTTTTAAAACATTACTTATTTTTGTATTTGTTCCATWAGTATAATCCAACTTTTGTCTAAGCATTGTTGTTTAATTTCTCAGGAAAACTTCTCATGATTCAGCATGGTTTGCATAAGGTACGGTGCATCATTTGTTTCTAGACAGAGGCTGACATGGACCTTTCTTTTGCTTGTTCTTCTTGTACATGTGCAGTTTCCTCCCAGYACTCAAGTTTCTTTCCACACTCCCAAAACAAGTTGTTGCTTCTGTGTCTTTGTCTTGACCCTAAGGAYGATTGGTGACCTGTCCATGGTGAAGCTCATSTTTGACCTAATACCAGTTGGCAGATAGACATCAGCCCTCCACACGACACTGAACAGGTGGGCCTGCTGAAAAAGGCTGAATGTTGCAACAGACAACAGTGTAAACAACTGAACTGAATCACTTTTTTCTAACTGATTCTAAATTTAGTTTTGACGAACGCTGACAATGTTTTGACAAAGACTGCAAATTTCACTGTAATGTGTTTTAATTTGCAAGTGGCAGTAAATCATAACTATGAAATACACAAAAAGAGACACAACATAACGTTAACATCCACACAATGACATCAAAAACAGAGCTATGATGCTAATGAGATTTAATCCCCCCACCAAAAACAAAAACATGCATTTAGCATTAACAGTGAAAATGGATCAAGACATGTTTTCATGTGTTTCAAAAAATCACTWGTGACAAAAGACAGAGTGAAAATGCTACAGTCACAAACACATGCTTTCAGAGGGAAACAAATTTTCTCAGCCTGTTCATTAAACACCTCCTCCAATCAGCACAGAGATGCCTCTTAGAAAACCAGAGGGCTGCTTCACAAAGCAGCACCTAAGTTTCACAAACACCCCGTTTTCTCAGTTTTTTAAGAGATTAACTCAGAGCGGAACGTCCTGACAGCTGCATGGATTCTCACAACTCTTTGCATCAAAAAGCACTAATCCTAATGGTTTTACACTGAACGCTTCACTTTTCTTTTATCASTTAAACCACTCATCAGCAGCTCAAAGGCTTGATAATGTTAAAACCAAGTTTCTATGAAGATTATTACAAAATAGTAAAGTGTTGTGKGGATTTCATTCAAATTTGAAGGGTTAAAACAATTTAGTGAAGTCAGACACAGCTGTTTGCTGCAACTCTGCTGACATCTTTGTGTTTGACTTCCTCTGAGTGCTGAAATGAAAGCTATGTAACATTTTTAACTAAAATGATCAAAGCAACTCAATAACTCCATGAAACCTCAGCATTTAATTAATACTCAGTTTTACATTTAAATAAATCTAAATATTTAGTGCAGTTATATTGTTTAAAAGGACTAATATTGTTATTAAAACACTAAATTAATGTGACAAAGAGAGACAAATAGGCAATATGAAAGTGAGCAGTTCCTGCGCCCCCAACACACACACACACACACACACACAC